ACGCATTTCCTTTGGGATTGGTGTAAGGACTACAGACACTGCCGCACCACCTAAGGGATTCAGTCCAGGATTGTTGTATGTCAGGGCTTGACTATGCATGGGGTTGGCTTGGGATGTTGGCCATAAGTTGTTCTGATGATCTCCCCAGCTATGAATCCCCAGCGGTTGGCTTGGGATGTTGCCCATAAGTTGTTCTGATGATCTCCCCAGCTATGAATCCCCCGTGGTCATGACCGCGGGGTCAAACTTGGATTGCCGTCGGGATCCCAACCGCTGGCACAGCCCGGGCAGTCAGGCGCGGTCGAGAAATTGTCATATTCAAAAAAAAAATAGACAAAAAAAAAGAGGGGTTGTTACAGTAGGGTTTGAAAAGCCCTACAAGGCACGCAAGTGGCATTCACGAGGTCTTGGGTTCAATCCCCATTGGCCTCATGTACCTTCCCGAGCGTGTTTGGTGCCCGCCACCGACAGATAGCTCGTTGGTCCCCCCAATTGGCATTAAAAAGCAGTCTCTGCTGATGTTCATAGTAGGAGGGGTAATCGGGGAGGCACAGCGGCTGGCCACTCAGATGATGCTTGGTCCCTCTGCTACTGGCTGTCCCCTGGCCGGTGTCCCCCATTGGGGGTTCCCTGAAGGCAATAAGGTCACACTGGGCTGAAAAGGCCACCCGGTGTCAGATTAGACACAAGATTGAATTTACCTGGGCTGGTTAGTCCGATGACAATACCTCAAGGCCATCGCCCTTTTTTTTCCTTTTTTTTTTCAAGCCCTACAACCCCATATTTTCTTTTTTGGAAAAACGAAAAAACAAGCAATGCCATTCTGATCAATACTTTTGCAAAAGGAAAGTAATAAAAAAGGGAAACTTTTTTTTTTCATTTTTTTCTGATTGCTGGTGGGATAAACATGGTGCACACTGCACATGTTTGGTGCACACTGCACATGTTTCTTTTATTCTTTTTTTTAACGGATGGATGCAAAGATAAAAGGGAAAAAGATAATAATAATAATAAAAAAAAGACAAAGACGTTTTCTTTTTATTCGTTTTTGACACACACACACATACCGATTGATTGAGTGAGTGATTGATTGATTGTGACTGGCTGGTTGATTGATTGATTGATTGATTGATTGATTGGTTGGTTGGTTGGTTGATTGGTTGATTGATACAAAAAAGAAAAAGTGCATGAATGTGCGCGCACGCGTGTGTGTTGTCATATTCGCTATACACTCAAAAAAAGCATGCGCGCTTGTGTGTGTGTGTGTGTGTGTGTGTGTGTGTGTGTGTGTGTGTGTGTGTGTGTGTGTGTGTGTTGTTTTAAAATTCCCCAGATTCTCTCTCTCATTCCCTTCACAAATCACCACAAGCCATCCATAACGAAAAAGTATAGATAGGCAATATAATAGAAAATGCAAGGTTGGCCACGTTTGTGTGGTTCAGCGCCAAGTGTCCACACACCCGTCTGCCGCCAAAGTGGCACACTTGCACATATACAAATGTATACATATATAGTCAAATATTTCAAACCATAAGGGGATGGACGGCAGAAGGCAACTGAAGGGGAGGGGGGCGGGTTGGGAGACCCCTCTCCCACCAATCAATCAATCAATCAATCAAAAAAAAGAAAAAGAAAAAAAAAACAGCAGGTTCTTAACCAGTGTGACAGTGTGTGTGTGTGCGCGTGCGCAAGGGGGGGGGGCAGGGGGTTGGGAGACCCCTCCCCTACCAATCAAAAAAAAAAAAMAAAAAAAAAAAAAAAAAAMAGCGGGTTTTTAACCCRWGTGTGKGTGTRWGKGTGTGTGTGTGYTGGGGGGGGGGGGGCACCCGTCCCCCACCAATCAATGAAGATTTCTTTTATTAAAAAAAAAAAACTGTTTTTCACCCACCAACCCCCCCCTTTCCCTCTCCGAAAATCATTTTTTTTAACTTTTCTTCCTCTAAGGGGTAGGGTCGGGGTTCTGGAACCACAATCCGCAACCCCCACCCCCAAACCCCTCCCCCTCTGGCCGCTACGCGACCGTGAAAGTCGCTGCGGCCGCGGTCATGACCACGAGGTCACGGCCATGACTGCAAGCCACGGTCATGACTGCGGCGGCCGTGTCCGGGGGGGATTCGTAGCTCCCCAGTCTGGCATATTGCACATTTAGACGTACATATGGTAGAGGATGCATGTTACATAATGATGATGATCATGGGTTCGAGTACACAGAACAGCACAACCCTTACATAACATACATCATTCCATTCCTACAACCATACAATCGTATACATAACCATAGAACTGTACATAACTGGTCTAGGTCGATACAACTACACTGTCTATACACAATCAGGAGGGACAGGCTGCGGGCTAGTGGAAGGATGGATGGTGACCCACCAACTACCGTGACTGAGTCTGTAGTCAGTCCCTTCCAATCTGTTGACCAGGATCTGTTGATAGGTGGGAGACAGTCTACTACTGATGATAGAACAAGGGTGCATTGGGGTTGTGCATCGAGGCATGGGTGCCTTTGGGGGGGAAGGAGCGCAGCTGATGAACAGGGTCTGGAGGAGGACTTCCTATTCGTTGGGGATGGATTAAGGGCGCATATTTTCTCCCCCCTCTGAGTCGAGGCGGGGTACCTCCAGCGGCTATACAACCAGTACAAACAGTCAAACTACAGAGCCAGAGGGGGCATCCAGTCCTTGCTAGAGGTGTCATAGACTCCATCTGTGCTTTGGGGGCCTTTCGCATAGGGTAACTAACTGGGGATGGGTAGGGGTTTAATAGCCGTTCCGGGCTTGTCTGTGATTCCCCCAGCCTTGGGTAAGCTGGGCTGATCCGAGCTTGACCGTTGAGTCTGCCTGGCCATGGTGCCTCGGTGGGAATTTGGGTAGTAATTGTGGGGCCAACTGAACACTGCTTGAGCTTGGCATCCGAAATACCCATGTGACGAGGCTCACTCGACTATGCTTTAGCTAGGGCTGGGAAGGGGTGTGACAGTCCCGTTTTGCCTGCCCAGCCCGGGTGGCTGTAACTGTTATTCGGTCCAAGTTACCCCCCGAGATGGTGGGGTGAGTCCTGAGTGATTAACACTGAGGTAAAATAGTGTGAGTAGGGGTGCGGCGGTGCGCTAGGTGAGTTGATGAGAGCATGGGTAGGGAGGCGGTTTCACAAAAAAATTGGAACTGATGGCTGGCTGAGATTGCTATGGAAGGAGTTAGAGTTGAAGGGGGGGAAAGGAAGGAACAGTGCAAGAGCCACTTCCAACTCGAGATTATGCAGAAGTGGCAGGAAACGAAACACTGTCAGGTGCTGGCTTCCTATCACAGACTAAGGCCTGGACCCCACTGGCCGGCGCCTGGAAAAAGTGGCCGGCCGCGAATTTCTGGCCAACTCGGGTGGAAAGCTTTTGGCACGATTCAGAGGGACTCCACGGCCAACTGGTGGCAGTGTTTTGGAAACGGGCCGGCTTGCCGATTTAGGAAAACCGCGGAAGTTCCCCTCCCAAAAAGGAAAGTAGGAATTCCGCGGACGAACCAGCGGACACGGCAGGGTCTCGGGTGGGGAATTGGTGTGTGGCATCGCACACCGTTTGCGGCACTGCGGGACCGACCTCCATGCGGTCCCAGTGCGACGTCCAAGCACGAGGGGGAACGGGAGGTACAACGGCACTATTTTTTTCAGCCTGCCATTGGGCCCGTTAGCGAATTTGCGAAAACCGGGAGGACGATGAGGGCACATCGTCGTTGACGTCCAGCCATCGTGTGGTTGTGTGTTGTGCCCGCGTAGCGAGCCGTTCGTGACCTGCCATCACTCACGGGTTGCCGATCTGTGGGGGAGAGCTTCGGGACGGAAGGGACAGTGGGTGGCCATAGCCGATCGCGACTTTCTGGTGTGACGATTGCCATGGATGTTYGGGGAGGCGGGTTGTATGGCGAAGAGTGCGAGGATACGATGTTGATGGTGGCRGTTTTTATCATCCACTGGATGAACAGACGCAACGCAGCCGCCATGGCGGTCGTGGAGGCTGTTTCGGTGATGCCATTCCTGTCCCAAAACGTCTCCGCTGCGGTTGCACTACTCGCGGGGGGGACGTTGCATGGTTTTGCTCTGGGGGCTTTGGCGGTTGAAGAGGTGGGAAGGAGATTGGACCGTCGACGCCATCTGTGGGTGGTGGAGCGCAGTGGCGGTGTGTGAAAAGACCTCCAGCGAGTGGGGGCGGGGGGTTTGCGAAGGGAGGTCATGGGCAGTAGAAGAGTGGGTGAGGGTGTACGTGATGTGAGCATCTTGCGGGCATGGTGCCTTTTTTGCTCCCCGGAGACGTTTGTTTCAAGTGTTTTAAAAATGACCCGCATACATTTCTGTTCCCTTAAGTTCTTCGATGAGAATGGTTCCCCCCCCCCCCCCCCCCGTCATTGAAATTCCCTTCTTCTCCTTGCTCGTGAATCCTGTCGCCCTGCCCTATCTAACCTCTCTCTCTCTCAATTGCAAAACGTTGTTGTTCAATTCCAAAACGAAAAAAAAAAATTTGCAAGACATTGTTATTCAATTGAAAAACAATGTTGTTCAAATAAAAAACAATGTTATACTGTTATTCAATTGAAAAACAATGTTGTTCAAATAAAAAACAATGTTATGCAACAACTATCACACCTTCTTCGCTGCCAAAACCATCGTCACGCACATGCGACACAACACGGACTCGTTCAGTTGATTGCGATTGCGAAAAGAAAAAAATATAATGATGGGAATAACAGACGTAATAGAAAATTGCAATCTGTGTACTCGGTAATGCATGACGTTTCCACAGAAAACATTCGCAGGCATTCCCATGTGAGCAAACACAAACATGACACGAAGAACCTGATTGATGTCATAGCATTGATACCGGGAAAATAGAAATGCTCATCCTCACGTTTTTGTCGCAGACGTGACGCGGACAATTTGAATTAAAGCCACTACAGTGGACGGCGTCCGCGCGGGCATTGATTGCTTCCTACACAGGAAGGATTCACCCATGTGGACGACATCATCATCCTCATCCTCATCCTCATCATCATCATCATCATCATCATCGTCATCATCATCATCATCATCATCATCATCAACATCATCATCATCGTCATCATCATCATCATCATCATCATCGTCATCATCATCATCGTCATCATCATCGTCATCGTCATCATCATCGTCATCGTCATCGTCACTTATGTCACCATCAACTGTGTCCTCGTGACAATCATCGTCGTCACAATCGTCGTCTTCATCGTCATCGTCGTCATCATCATCATCATCATCATCATCATCATCATCGTCATCATCATCATCATCATCATCGTCATCATCATCATCATCATCATCATCATCGTCATCATCATCATCATCATCATCATCATCATCATCGTATCTCCCCATGCAGATACGGCCTGCCAACCAATGGGGGTTCCAGGATGCAACGCCAAAACGGCACCGGATCCAGGCGCTCCGCAAAAACGTCAGCCAGGGTGGAGACGTAGAGCAGGACGATTTCCCCTGCAAGATCGACGGGATGGGCGCCTCCTTCGTTGGGGATCACTTCACCGACCTTCGTGATGTGGATGAAAACATGAACGAGGAGATTCCCGAAGAACCCGAGGCCGACCTCCATTTTCATCGTCGGGATCCCATCAACGTCCACCTCGTAGAAACGGAACCGTCGTGTGACGCCGTCCGCGAAGTCGAAGTGCCGATGCCACAGGCCATCCCGTTCATGGCGCATTTCATAAACCATCACCCCCTGCCGTCGATTATGCCACGACAAAACGTGCGCACGTCCATCTCTCTCTCTCTCTCTCTCTCTCTCTCTCTCTCTCTCTCTCTCTCTCTCTCTCTCTCTCTCTCTCTCCTTTGACGGCGCCGCTGTCCACTGGACGTGTGTCTCCGTGCAATCGATCAACACTAGACACTGATCTTTGTCCCCGTCACGGCGATGACATCAATCAGATAGCCGGCACCCGCATGCACAACGCATCAACCACTACAGATGGCCACATGCGGGAGGCCCTGTCTTTATACTGGTTTCCACGGGGCGTTGTGTGCCCATTTCGTCAGCTACGGGTCCCTTTCAGTGCACGCACCGCCCGTGTCGAGGTTTGTTTTTTTTTGTTTGTTTGTTTGTTTGTTTGTTTGTTTGTTTTTTTCCTCACTGTTATCCCGCGCCCATTGGTCTTCTCGTCGGCCGAAAAGCCAACGGACGAGCACATAACCCCGTCGCTGGACAGTGAAAAATATATATATATACATATATACATATATCGTCATCACCGTGATGACGGGTCCGTTTCCCGCCCACCCCCCACTGCACCCCCTCCGTCCGACCCCCGGCGTGTGAGAACCCCCACCAGCAACTCGAGGACACTGTTACCACCGCGCATCGCTTCGGCCACGTCTCCTATCCGACTGGCAATTGCAGAGCCGGCGTTTGCGGTGGCTTTCGCCAGGCTACTGGCCGCTTTGTCGAGGCCATCGCAGTAAGACCGAGTGGAATCCTCCATGGCCCTGCTCAACGGCGTGGCAATGGTACTCGCCTCCTCCCTCCTCGCCTTCCCCTTCTCCGTTTGCCGAATCTTTGCAGCACTGTCCGGCTCGTCAGCACACCTCTCCTCCGATCCACCGCTCATCGATGCGCTTCCCCCCCCCCCCCCCATTAGGTTCTCCGAAGCCAATGTTTTGTCGCACTTCATCGACGGCCGATCTAGTTGCCATTGCATAGCGTCCCACAATGCCTTCTCAAAGGACAGTGGGAGATTCTTCTCCTTTCGCTCCTCCAACGACAGATCCCAATACGACGGCTGGCCAGATGCTTCACATTTCTCGACGATGAGCTTCGCCGTCTGCAGCATGTTCGACCATTTCTTCCTGCAGTCCTCAGCGCTCCTATGTTTGAACCCGGCCTCCTTCATCCTATCGTTCACCCAAACATACCGCTCCTTCCTCTGCTTGAAACGGTGTTGCCCGTGGGCATCTGCCATGAGGGCATCATCCTCACCCATCAACATCGCGAGCTTTATCCACTCATCCAACGTCCATGGTACGTTTTGTTTCTTCAGGGCCGGCGGACGAGCATTCGCAGGCCGTCCGTTACCCGCCTCGCCCGCTCCACCACTGTTGAGCACATCGTTTTGATAGCGAATGGGAACGACACTTCCTTGCTCCGCAACGCCGTCATCGTCACCTGCTTCAGAACCGCCGGCACCGTCATCGTGAGGCGGGTCCATGCGCGTGTCAGGGGACATCGGCCTCGGGTCCGGCCGGGTCCAGGTACTCTCTCCATCATCACCGACTGCTGGAGACGGGGAAACCCTCGCCCCAAACAATCGCCCCGGGTTCTGCCCACATTGTGGAGACCATGGCCTGCCACCCATGCCCATGGACTGTGCGGACAGTGACGGCATGCCGAAACCTGCACCGCCGGTCGGACCTTGTGCACACGACATTCCTCCATACACGTCGGAAGGCTGATGTCTGTGCACAACATGGTCACCAACACCATACGAGTCCAGCTGGTGCAACTCCCCTGCCGGCGGACCTCCATGCACTGGACCGACGTGCATGTGCTCACTGAACTGCCCGCCGTATGCTCCATGGAACGCGGACGACTGCATGGGCGCCGTTGCACGAAAACACGCACGTCCAGCCGGCGAAGCACATTGGCGACCACCGTTGAAAAGGGGCATGCTCGTTGTCGCTGGGCCGCACGACAGAGGCCGTGCGTGCAAATGCCCGTCCTGCATGTCACGACCACCGCCGAAAGCACCCTCGCCTCCCACTGTCCGCCGATTGGAGTCCATCGCACGACTCCCTGGTTGAAGAAGGCCACCGCCTCCACGAAAGGCGATACCTTTACCTGCTCCCCGATTACAGCTGGACTATCGAAGCCTGCACACCAGGATGGCGACACCGAAGAAGAAGAGAAGTGACAAAAGCAACAACAAGCCGGCCACGAAGAGGACAACCAACAACAGCACTGCCCCCACAATCAGCGGTGATGCGCCACCACCGACCCCAACTTCGCAGCAGTTCGTGACGACAACGACAACAGGACACCCCACCTAAGAACACCACCCACACCCCCTGCCTCGCCCGTGACGATAACTAGTCGTGCCCTCTCCAATCCCGGTCACCACGTGTCCGCTGTTGGTCTGCTGCCGCTCCCCAACTTGGCTGCAACCCTGTGCTTGTTGAATCCACAAAGGACGACCTCCGCTGCACATCGGTTGTCGAGGCGACAGTGGTACGAGAGAAGGTGACGTGGACGGTCGTGGAACAAGGGACGGGCCGGAGGACTGTACGGGAGACGACAAAACAATGTCAGCGCATCCACCTCGACGATAGAAACCTTGAAACACTTCCCGCCCAGGGAAGACAACAGGAGAGCTCAGCACTGTCCTTACTGCAGCCGAGGCATCCGTATGCGAATGCCGGGGACATGGTAGAAGATGGCGGACCGGCGTCGCATCACGACAGCAAAAAGCGGCACGGCCGAAACAACCGATGCGATGGAGCAGCCGCATGGCAGATCGACCGTCCATCTCGGCGTGCTGGTATGGCTTGCGAAATCGTGGACTCACGTCCTCGACAGGCATGCAAGCGTGTGAGCGTCCCTCTATCGTCAGCCAACCACCCCGCATGCAACGGCTTGCTTCTGTCGTCGGCCAGCCACCCGCCTGAACTGCAAATGCCCATTGCCTTTCGGAATTTGAATTTCGGCCACCGCCGAAATTCGAATTTCCGCGTTCCCGCCAGCTGCCCACAGTGGAGGGTACCGCCGCACGGGTGATCCATGTGGTACCGTGGACGACCCGTCTATGGGACTCGTGCAACGCCAAATGTCACCGCATTGCGGACGCCTGGTCCAGCCTCTAGTCCACGGCGCCCATGCACTGGACCGAACCTTGCCACTCCCCGCCTTCCACAGTTGGCGCTTTGCCCCACCCTGCCAGAAAAGCCGAGTTTGGAAAAGGAATGCCGCATCCTGGCAGGGACTTTTCCAGCCGCCGACCGAGTAGAATCACGCCCGCCGTGCTTTCCAGGACGGCAGTGGGGTCTACAAAACATGTTCGCGTCTTTCCAAGCCACCTCCCGGCGGCCTGGTGGGGTCCGAAATCGGCTTTCCATGCCAAAAGTTTTCCGACCGTCGGCCAGTGGGGTCCAGGCCTAAAAGACACATCAGAAAGAATCTCCAGATTTGCCAATGAATGGCTGGGCGGACCAAGGGAAGGATGGGTGGCCAGGGTACAATGGTCGGGCGACAACGAGAGAGAGGGACAGAGACAAGAAGAAGACCAGCAGGTGCAAGTTCCACGGGACTACCGTCTCATCTTCAAGGATTGGACAGCAATAGACCACAGCATTCCTATGCGTTACCCTGAGTGTTTCCGAAATCCCTTTCCTCCCCACCCCTTGGCATCGGAAGTCAAGCTCTAAAGGTCTGAGATTGCGGACGGTAGAGGGATAAGAATCGAGGGGACAGGGAAAGAACGGACCTACTGGTGCCCCCCAGTGGTCCCCCCTGGCCCCTGCCCCTCGATCCTCAGCGGAAAGATAGGCAGACAAGGGTGAGGAAGCACGGAGCTTAATAGTTTCTTCTGAGACAAGGCACTGTGCAAAGCCGGAAAACATATAAGGGTTGATATTCAGATACCAGTCCTCAAAAAAGGGGAGAAGAAAGGAGGTCCCACTGCCCCCCAGTGGCTCCTCCCATCTGACCCGGCTCCCAGCTAGCATGGACTCAATTGGCTTAGGGGGAGGGAGGAACTAGTGTGTAGCGATGTACCTGGCGCCGAATTCAGGGCGAAGAGGTTCCCCCTTCCTCCCAATATCATGCTCAGTCAATCCCCCGGATCCCAGGGTAATCAATGCTGGCAGGAACATCCCACAACTTTTTTCTGTTTTCTGATGTACTTCAATTTCAGCGACGCTTGACCGTTTTCCAGCAGGTGACGCTCCCCACCAATAGATGGAGCCTCTCCCCAGGTGCTAGTGGTGTCTGCTCTTATCAGCACCACTAACACTGGCGGGGGATTTTTGCTGGAAAAAAAAAAAGCAAAAAAAAGAGATTGCAACTACTGTGTGTGTCCAGAACCTGGCCTCTACAACAGCCTGGCCCTGCTGCCTGGGCTTTATGGAAAAAACAAAGACAAAAGAAAAAAAAGGAGTACTACATGATAAATGAAAGGGGGGAAGGACTTTGGAGTACACCCTGGTTTATGGGAAAAAAGGGAGTACTACATGATAAATGAAAGGGGGGAAGGACTTTGGAGTACACCCTGGTTTATGGGAAAAAAGGGATAATTTGTTAAATACCCCCATAAGTTGAGATATATGCCAAAATGCTCCTGAAAGATGTGCGTAGAGCGGAATGGCGGAAATCATTGTGTTATGCCCATGTCAGACCCATGTGCAAATTTGCAATCTGGACCTCCCCGTTTGGGCCTTGGCCTTTTGCAGTTGCCCCTAGGAAAAGTTAGCAAGTACTGGGGCATTTTGCAAAGCTGGACGATACCCAGCAGGGGTGTATTGCAAAGACGGCGGTCCAACTGATGCCAGCTGAGGGGTATTTCACAACATTCTTTTTTTGTCAGAGGGGCATTCTGCTCTACCCACATCTGTCAGGGCATTTGGCATATATCTCTCAACTTATGAGGGTATTTTGCAAATTATCCCCAAAAGAAATTATAATAAAATTCCAAGTGAACATACTTTTTTTTTC